GCACGCTCAAAGAGAACCTTCTTTAGCAATGACAGTAATGAAGCAACATACATGGAGAAAAAGCACCAGCGACGTGATAGATGATATATTCCATTGCGAAACCTGTGCCTCAAAGCAACCACTTTTGGTGGAGTGGGATAAAATGTGTTGCTTGGCTTAGACTAGTATATTAAGTATCATCTCGATTGCACGCCTTGAAGTTTTTGCCTCGTGGGATGTGCCTTCGTATTTCTCTCAAACCTCCAACGTGGGTAGTTAAACCTTTAACTACGTAATACCGACGTTAATACAATAGCAGTAATGTTCCAGGAATAACGTACTGCAACTATATGAGGCTACGAAAAGTTATGGTTGCGAAATAATGCTTGTTCACTGAACACATGAAGTGATGTCATGAGCAAATCGTTGGTATAATATAATTGTTATTTATTTAAGGAAATGGGTGGTTATGTGTTAGAAGAGTTGTTTACTGAGTAGCAAGGACGGTGTGAGTAGCTAAAGGAGATCTAATACAATCACTATTCCACAAAGACGACATGCAACAACAAGACACACAGCAACGCATTACATGGTGGAAGAAAAGAATACAAAGTTGCACCAATAATATTGTAAGGACTTGTACAAGACGCTCAAGCATGATGCAAAGCGGTATTCCATAGTCAGTGTTGTGTATAACTAATGGGTCGCCCAGCCTAACACTAGCATGACGTGGAAGCTTATGCGATAGACTGATGGCTTAAGGAGTGTTATAGTAGAAATATTGGGTGTGTTAACAGAGAGAGTGTTTAAGATTTAACTATAGACTATTAACCAAGTAACAAAATATATGGAACTACGCTAGCCATATTGTAGAGGCTTATGTAGAAAATTCGTGAACCGTTGTAAGGAATGATGAAGTGTGTGATCTAGCATTTATTTATGTGAATGAAAAATCACTGCTATTAAATCAATTATGCAAGCAAGCAAGAAACGGACGTGGATGGAATAGAGTATAAGTGAGCGAATGCCCGACGTTACTCGAATTAGAGGCCTTTCATGGGAACAGTGATACGGAACACACATGTGGATAGGATGATAACTGAATTATGAACTGAAATGGAGAGGTAAGGTGAACGTAACATACTATGCTAAAGAAGGGGCGGAGATGATCTAACCTATCCTGGTTATGCCCGCAGGACCACCAGGGAAAAGGTGAAGATTACCTAACCAATTCTGATTACACCTTTGGGATCCCCTCCCCCACCCCCATCCTCTCCTCCACCATCCATGGTTAATGGTTATCCCATTAAGCAAGCAAGCAGGTGATACGGGCATGGCGTTGCCAGATGACGTACTCCGTCGTGTCCGCGTAGAATTACGGAATATTTATTAGGTAGATAGAAAATTATCTATTTGACAGAGGAATTTTCAACAAGTCCCATACTTTTTCTCGATTCCCTGTGAGGTGTTGTCAACTGTATCAGAAATGTTGTCTCCATGAACATTGGCCATATACCTATGAATCTAAAAACACCTTGGGTAATATAGCGATTAATAAATGAACGCATGGAATCATAAGTTCAGCAACTATTGCGACTAATTTTGTCTCAGTAGTACGAACCCTAAGTGATAGATTATACATTATAAATACATTCGAACTACATTTCTCACAGATCACACAGTTACCACCCCCATATTAACAAGTGTCCAAACGAACGGTAGAAGTTGACGCCTTCCGAGAGCCTTCGTCACTATGCATAAGCAAAGCTCTGTCTTCTCCCTAACATCGCCTTTGTGACACAAAATTTTTCGCCGATAAGTACTGCCTGTTAATAAAGGAGAGCCAAATTGTATTATTATACTGCTACAGGATGGATTGTCGATATGGAAAGAAACCGTTATCAGTCGACAATCCGTTGAAAACAGTTCCGTTGACCCTGAATAAAGCTAAGACGTCGAGACGTTAGCGAAATAAAACTTATATAACAACCTCGTATAAACTGAGCAATTCAAAGAGATATATTAACTAATCACGTCGACGTGAAGTGAAAGCTGGTTTAGTAACTTCAACAATGGTTAAAATAAGGTGGATCACAGATCAGCAACCAATTTAAACAAAGTGCTGTGGAAAGGATAGGGAAAGCAGTTATTGCTTTAGCACTTGTTAATACGCCGAAACATTAGCGGTCATTTTATTGAAACGATGCCTTATGTGAAATTATGTCATCACACATTTAGAAGCACTTGATGGTGAACTCTACAAATATCGTGTGGCGCAATGTCGGAGATGCCCTGCAACATACACGTGGAATCGATCCCCGTGCCTATGGAACACCAAGTCTTCCATCCCTCCGGGGTCGGCAAATTGGTACCAGACTTGTCTGGGAGAATAGCAGCACTGACTCGATACATCGGTAGCGCACCGCGAGTCATTGTAAAGGCCACAAGGTCCATGCATTCAATCACCTCCAAAGGATGCTTAACGAAGTCGGATTCATGGCGCATCCGTCAGGGGTTTATCAAAACCGAGAGCTTTATCCTTTTATTTCTTTATTTCTTCTGTAGGACTTCTACCATGGTAAGTGCACTCTGCAGTCGACCGTCTAGGAAACGCCTTTTAGTTTTAAATGCGGACAGTAAACCTAAAGCCGTGCGTCGATGTTTGGACATTCCACAATAATGACTTTTTCATAATCCGGTAGATTATATCCCAACATTTCTCACATTCATTTCGTCTCCTCGCATCTTTCACCCACGAAGATCTTCGAATTTTACGCGTGGCTTCGGTTGTTGCTTGAGGATTTTCATTTCATCAATGCTGATCGGGGCAATTTTCTCTGGAATCCTGAGATAGCCAGGCTGTAGCGTTCCCAATTGGATTGCGGAAAGTAATTTTTTCCCAAACAAGCCCGTTACCAATCTCCCCACCTCGGAGAGATGAGAGGCTTGGTTGTCTCGGAGCGGATTCGAACTATCACCATGCTGGTGGTGGCGCACATCACTAACACTGTGCTAACCGTTCCTTAACGCCGATACAACGTCTTTGAGTAGCTGTGGAAAAGTTAAATATGTGTTGCCTTGGGGGTCATTGAAGACACCTCCATAACGGACATATGCTTCATTTCTAATGTATTTTTACAAGCTCGTAGACATCAAAATGTGCCCAACCCAATTTTCCCCAAGCGCTTCGTTGAGTATGTGTTTCAAGGCAAAGCTACCGCAGTCGAATCGCCACTAGTCCGTCGATGCGACTGCGAAAACCAGCTGTTTATGGGGCTCTTCACGAGTTTACGTCGTAGCAAGTGTGCTACACTTTTCGGTAACTGTAATTGAGACCTTGTCTTCATCTTGATTTTTCATTCTCCTTTTAAAATATTTTCATGTTGATGGCTAAATGGGAGGATTTCACCAGTTTTATCGAATAAGTCAAATGGACGTGCGATCAGAGAACGTTGGTAGGTTCGGAGGCTCACCATCTTATTGCTAAAACATTTTTACTGTGTTGAATGGTTTAAAAAAAGATCCAAGGTCACGGCGAACATATCTGCTATTCCGTCCTTCAGAGAGATAACGGTACTTTCGCTAAAGAAAATTGATCATAAACAAAACTCATTAAATAACTGCAAAGTTTTAGATTAATCGTTCGACTTACGTGACCCATGATTGCGCCCCGCTTTGGTTTTGGAGTTGATGAAATTACACGTAAAGCATTCACATAGATACTCTCGTAATGAGCTCACAACGAAACGAAAAGGTTTAGGAAAAAAGAAACAGGTTGACGAAACGAGGATCCGGAGTGGTGCTGATGCGCACTCGGCGTCGGCTCGTCAATGATTAGCCGGCAGGTCAAGGTACGCTTCTCGAATTTCACAGGCACAGCACGTTAAGCTGAAATTGGCAAGTTAATGCGGTAGATTTAAATCCGTCGGGAAACCTGGCACACGGCAATCGTGGCGTCGCAGGGTAGATGGGTATTGATCCGCGGCTGGTGCACGTACCCCTAGCGAGAAGCCGTAACATTGTGTGAACTATGTGAACAAAGGTTAGAGGAAATTCGTCATAAATTTGTTATCCTTGTCCCCATGGACATAAGAAGGAACTCGATCAGAGGGTCTTCCTAATTATTATAGTTATTATTATGTTCGCTTCACAGCTTTGATTTTCCTTGAATAAGAAGCTTGTAATCGAGCTGAAATTGCATCTACCACTTTCACATTTCCACAGATTTGGAATATTTGGATAAAATTTACCAAAGGTTTTGGATTTGAACAGACCATTGCGATTTGTACAGTCTGAGGAAATCTACTTCAGCAAACGGTAAAATGGGCTCTTGATGATTTTTGAAAATTCTGTGATTACTGGAGTATATAAGCAGTCTATAGCTTGACGAACCTAAAGAAAAGGAACTTCTCCTTTCCGGTTCCCCAGAGATTTCAGAAGCATTTATTTCACTCCTTCTCTGATATGACTAGGAATCACGTATTGTGTGGATCAGGCACTTCCTTCACCTGGTCCGTTGCGTCGTATCCGTGGCACGTTGGTTCGGCTATCACACTAGGACTCTGTCTTCTTCATAAGTGCTGAATAATGCTGATCGAGTTGAATCTGCGTCAAAATGCTTCAGTAGAGTGCCTTAATATTCTTACTGTAGGATTATTCGATGGCGTTAAATAGAAAGGAGCATTTCCAAGACAAGTCTGGTATCATTTCGCGGATCTCCGAGTGATGGAAAGCCGTTGTGGCCAGTTGCTGGATCGAACCGACGACTATGCTTATGCCGTACGATATCTTTAACCATTGCACTTCACGCGACCCCATTCCTCATAAAGAATTTTCTAGTCCACGACTATGTGAACAGGAGGCAAACAAGAGTGTGACAAGCTAGAAATTCGTATTCTAGAGAAGGTTGAACCGTTCATACGAAACAAGCGTGCTAAATAAACTTTCATTACTTTATTTGTATTGAAGCAAATTCTTGAACTCTTGAGAAGTTGCGGAGTCTAGTGAAAAGACAATTTTCTTCATTTAGTTCCACTTGAACCAGAATCCTTATCTTTCGGATTAACTGAAAAAATTGTGTAAAGTAGTGGAGTAAAATTCTATTTTAAAAAATGACTGAAGAAACGGAGTCGCCAAATTTTTAAACATCTCATCTTTCGTTGTATATTTTTTCAATTTCTACAAAATTTCCTACTTAACGTACCGTCGACGATCTCCGCTCTTTCGCTGGCCTCCATCTCTTTCTGTTCCATCAACAGCTGCTTTCTTCGTTTCTTTGCCTCTTTTGCGTCCTTTAGCATTTGTTTGAATGGTCCCAATCCGGCTTTCTTAGCCATTGGCAAGAACATATCATACCCTTCTTCCAGCATCTGATTTGAAACTGTTTAACTTAAATTTGCAATACATTGCTTGAAGAAATAAAACGACAAGTGGAGCGTTTCGATATTGCTGCAGGTATGGATACTTACTTACTTTGATACTTGAATAGCTTACTTACTTTGATGCATGAATGGCCCGTCTTCACTGCATGTGCGGGTCCCTAATTTCCCCTCTTTTTTCTCGGCCACAATCCTCATCCAAAGAGTGGTCTACTCTGAACACGGTGACATCTGAGAGGCCTATTCCGTAAGCCTGAAATCGCTGCTATTGGTCTTCCAAGAGAATGTTTGCATTTCATTTGAGTTCAAGTCACTCTTTTTTCCATTACTCTGTAATCTGTTCTTCTCATTATGTAACCGGCCCATCTATGCTTCGCCATCGATGTAGTTTACCTGTATCTCGGAGATGTGACAGATTTCAAAGGTCAGAGCCTCGCATTCCGGCTAGATATTGAGAGCACCGGTTATATTTCAGAAGACATCACTCAAGCGCTCTGTGAGTGAGTAGTGCGAAGCATTCTTGACGTGGCTGAAGTATTAACTCACGTCTAGGCAGCATAACAGAGCGTTGGGAAGAGTGTAGAATCGAAAAGTTGAGCGCGAATTTTCGGTCCTTCAGTTGGTCCGAGGCTTCTTTGAGGGCCCTGAATGCGGCCCAAGCTGTTCTCCTTCCTCTATCTAGTTCCTCCTTCATGTTGCTTTCCATATTCATTGATCGCCCAAAGTATACGTACGAGTTGCTCTCTTCAACCATAGAGCCATCCAGTTTAATATTTTCGCCTTCGCACCATGGGTTTTTCACGAACTGGGTCTTCTTCCGATTTATGAGTAATCCAAGTCCTTTCTTCCCTGCTTCGTTGAGCTCATTCATCATCGTCTCTACTTCGCCGGTGTTTCTTGAGAAGATGACGGTGTCGTCGCCAAAATGAAGGTTTGAGAGGAATTTCCCATCAATACGTATGCCTTTTTCATCCCAGTGGAGTAACTTCACTATCCACTGCAGTGCGACACTGAACAGCTTTGGCGATATTGTGTCGCCCTGGCGAACCCCTTTTTCTATTGGTATGGTAGCAAGTCGATGGAAAAGCTGTATTTTCGTAGTGGAATTCTGATAACAATCGGACAGAGTCTCTATGTAGGACAGGTCCACTCCTTGGTCGACGAGCGCTGATAGGATTGCATTCGTTTCGACACTGTCAAACGCTTTCTCATCGCCGACAAAGGTTAGGACTAGAGGCAAGTGTTATTTCCGACAAACTTCGATGACCCTGGACACAGTTTGGATGTGGTCAATGCAACAAAATTTATATCGAAATCCTGCTTGCTCGACTGATTGCGCCTCATCCAGTGTCTTGATATGCGCGAGAGCATAATCTTCGTGGAGAGCTTGTAGAGTGCACTCAACAAGCATATCGGGCGATAGTTACGAAGATCTCTTCGGTCACCTTTCTGGGGTTGGATGATCGTGCGCAACGTCCTTCTTAACATCTACTGTGCGGAACCCAGAATTTCTCACTTTTGATTCATTTCCTGCCATCCACCATTCACGAAGGTCTTTCAATTTTTACGTGTGGCTTCGGCTGCTGCTTGAATATTTCTCTTCCGTCATGAATGTCGTTAAATACTGGCCGAGTCGATTCTCTTTGGAGTCCTGAGATATCCGAGCTGGAGCGTTCCCAACTAGAATGCAGAGGGTGAATTTTTCACGGGCAAGTCCGGTACCAATTTTCCAACCCTGTAGGGAGGAGAAGCTGATTGAGCCTGGAGTGGGCCGAACCAGCACCTGATAGCGATGATCGGTATCCCACTGTGCTATCCGTTCCGTTATTTGCATGGCATTGTGGTATACAGCTATTCAACTAACCAGTTTGGAAATATTGCAACTGTGCAGTTGTCCGCATTCGTGGATACTTCGATACTTGGGTGCTCCGTTTCCTCTAGTTGCGCAGACCCCAGCACATTTGCCATTCGTTTCTTTCCCTCGCAATCGTCGTCCATGGTGGAGGTTTGTTTTTGACGCTTGCGAGTTTCATACCGTAATCTATAAAATAATTGCAGCTGTACGTACACCTGATTAACCTTGGTTGCGAACATGTCCGCTCCAAAGGAACGGCTGCATTCCCGTGAGTCCACTCTACAGTTCCTCTCGTCCATGTATCGTCTGTTCTTCTCATTATGTGACCGGCCCATCTGTGTTTCGCTATCGAGGCATATTCTCATGAATGTCAAAAATGAGACAGATTTCGAAGATTGGAGATGCGCATTCCGGCCTGACATTGTGAATGCCGGTTAAATTTCGGATGACATTGTTCCAACGCTCAGTGGATAGTGCGCTGTATGCTTAACATGGCTGAGGTACCATCACACTCTCCGCTGCATAATTGAGCGCTGAGAAAACTGTTGAAGAAAAGACGAGCGCACTTTCTAGGTTCCTTTAGTTCGTCGGTGGCTTTTTTGAGTGGCCCAAATGCGGCACATGCTGCTTTCCTTCTCCACGTTCTTTTCCATGTTGATTGAACGTCCCAGTTTAACATAAAAGGTGGTTTCATCAGAGAACCATCCAAATCGATTTCTTGGTCTTCCATGGGTTTTTATAAACTGTATCTTCGCTATTTTTGTGCGCTGGCCAATGTTTTTTCCCGCTTCGTTGAGTTCATTAAGCATCGTTTCTGCTTTACTGCTAGTCCTCGGAAAGACGACGATGTCATCTGCGGAGCGAAGATTTAATAAAAATTTTCTATGAATACACATCACTTTCTCATCCCGATCGATTGACTTCATTACCCATTACATTCCAGCAATTAACAGATTTGGCGATAAAGTGTCGTCTTCCCTTTCCAAATCCCTTTTCTTAAGGAAATGATAAGATTTCAATGTGAACGATCTATCTTCGTTGTGCAGTTCTGATAACAGTCAGGCACACTTCCTTCATAGAACAGCTCCACGCCTTGCTCGACGACTGCTGATAAGTGTTCATTTGTTTCGACGCTGCCAAACGCTTCTTCATAGTCGTCAATTCTTCTTAGTCAGCAAGAGTAACAATCAGAAGAAAGTCGCATTTCCCACAAACTTCTCTGACCTTGTACATGGCTTGGATATGGTTCATGTAGGAAAATCCACTTTTAAATTCTGTTTACTTAATGGTTGTGTCTCATCAGATGTCCTTTATATGTACAACAGGCTAATCTTCGGGAAGAGCTCGTAGTGCACACTCAACAAGCATATCGCACGACGATTACTAAATTCTTCCTGGGTAGGATGACCGCGCCCGATGTCCTCTACTGGTTTGAGATTTTCTCTTTCTCAATATAAGACGTTATGTGGGTTGCGAGAAATACATGTAGTTTGTGGCCACCAGTTCTAAAGAAATCCACTCTGGCATCGGATTTCGGCGCCGTGCACTTCTTCGTGCTTTCTATCGCAATTCGAACTTCAGAGGGTTTAAACCCTCTGACCACTTTTCAGCAGCGGCATTTCGGAGTACTCGGCCTGGATTATAGAGTGAAAAAGGATGGTATGGAGCTTTTCCGTTATTAATTCCATATCACGTCGAGATGTAGTTATCATAGACCTGTCTTCGTTCAACGGGATTGATAGAGGAACGTTACAGTCGCCAAGATTCCGGCCGCACTTCTTCAGACTGAATCGTTTTCGCGATGCTTCGAATAACTTTTTCCTGCCCGTACAAATGTCAATCCTTGTACTAATCCTTTACATATGGCATTTTTTACCAGCCGTGTTAGGTGTGTTGCAGTAGGATCAAGCTTCAGTGTTGTCTTTTTGAACAACACCTTAGTGGTATTCGAGATGCGGTCTGAAGTTGTTGTTGTGAAACTGAGGCTAGTTTGGCACAAATTTTAAGTCCTTCGGTAATCGGCATAGTTCTCGATCAGATCTTCTTTTATTTCCCATGTGACATGACAGGATTTTGTTTAGAATATCCTCGTCAGTGAAAGTTCTTCTCGATCTTAAGGCTGAATCGAGTCCTCGCACGGAAATGGCGGTGATCAGACCTAGTACAGAACCTAGCAAGTATCTGCTACGGAGTATCTTAAAATACCACTTTCGTTTCTTTGTTCTAGAATTCCGTATCCTGTTTTCGCTCTCTTTGACCATTCCTAATCTGGTATTGAAGTCCACAATAGCGAATTTATAGGAAGAATTTTCGGTGCGTATCAGTTTCTCCGATTAGTTGTCGAATGAAACCAGTTAGCTCTAATAATCTACAAAAGTTGGTGAGTGGCAGTCGGTGATACTGCCTTTCTTGTATGAAAAACTTGGAGCCGAACAGTGTCTAAGTGCGGTGATAGGATTTCCTTTGAGGTGACTAGGTGGGAAATGGATTGATATATGACAATTCCAACGCCGCGGATGTTTCGTAACAGGAATTTCTCCACACGAATGATAAAGGTTCGTCATCTAATTGACCTGTCCATCGTCCTGCTTTCCGTTTCTTATGGGGCGACCACATAGAATTTGGTGCGATCGGCCGTCGCAAGTGGGGCGTAAAGGTAGGAGAGTGAAGAGACTACTGTAGTGTTATAGATGCACAAAAAGAAGCAGCCTCCATGGCGTGTCCACGGCGTGTTCGTTTTCCAGTGACTTTCTGTGCAACCCAAAATTTGATCATCTCTTACCAGTAGTCTCATTACCCGACGTCCTAGACTGGCTCACAGTCTGTGGGGCACTGAGGCTGAAGCTTTGCCAGTGTAGACAGTGTGGTTTCCTGGAGTCTTGCGGTCATCCTAGCGGAAGTCCTTCTTCAGGTCGTCACCACTCGAGGCCGCTGTTTAGGATTAGGAGAGATTTGCCACCATGCGACAAGTTTGGTGTCAGGATAGCAGTGATTTCTGTCATTAGTTAGCTCTTGGCTAGGCTTACGGATAGAAACGTTGGAATACCTCTCAGCTTGGGAGACCCTACAGAGGTGATAAACCTCCCGCCGTAGGTCCCGGTCGGACACTCAGGAACACCTCCTATTTACGACGAGGTGGTTAGTCTTCGGAAAGAAGGCATGCTCTAAAGTGCAAGCGTGATTCTAACTAACCTGTAGAGCTTTTACCTCTTTTTGACAAAGGTTTATTAAAAATGAACTAACCTTTGCATATGGACTGACTTTGAGGGCAGTAAAAGCTATATATGCTGTGAATATTAAAATGCCAGTGGCGACGGAGCCGAGCGCGAGGAACAGGGTGAGCGGTAAACTGGCCAGAGCTATTGTGGTCATCTGAATATTCAACTGTGACAAATGACAAGCCCTTCGTCATTGGTATATTCCTTATATGCTTGTGCTTGTCATAAGTACAATTCAACTCATAAAGGGAATCGAATGCACATTTGCCGCGCAAAAATTGTAGATGACAACTAATGTGTTTAGATAAGCGTGGTGTAAAAGCGCCAACTTAGATCGCCCTCAAACCAACGATCACGAGTGTATTGTGTTTTACATTTGAATCCGCTGCGCAAAAAAATCTCATTAATTGATGGTATACAGTAGGCTATGAGCGGTACTAAATTGCGCATGTGATGTGCAGGCAGTATTGGGTGCACAAATTATTCACTCCTAATCGCATAGAGGTTCAAATAAGTACAAACTAACCTTAAATATCACCAAAACTCGCTCAGCATGAGTTAGATAATCACTTTTTGCGGTGGCATTCCTGTATATTCGTTGGGCTAAGAATGTTGGGAAGGCGAAGAACACAAAAAGCGGAATACCGATCTTAAAATGAATTATCAGAGTAAAACTTGCAGGACAAGAGGTGAAAGAAAGAAAAATGAAATAGCGAAGTTGTAACTAGAAAATCTAACGCTTAATGACTTGCTTTCACAAAAAAAACTGTGCTCAAGCCAGCACAGTTCCCATGTTCCCATCCTCTCTGAGTTTCCCCAGATGTCCATGCCAAGATGTTTCGATATTGTAATCATAAGTACTCGTCGACACTTTTACAACAAAAAGATATTTTCAGCACTTTTACAAGATTTTTTTTAAAAGACAGAAGCAATTTTAAGCAGTGGTTTGTTCTACGTTGTTGTGGGAACTGTTAAACTCATTCTTGCGCTTTGGTAATCCAATATTGTAGTGAACAGTCTGTTGAATATAGCAGTTCGACTTCCAAACTCTTTCTCGTCACGGTAACACTTGTTGATGCAACTAAAGAAAGCGCTCTGAAAATCCTTCAATAGTTCGGCAGCTGGAAGATCCGTCTTTACAAGTTTTAACTTGTCTTCTGAAGCATTTCTCGTATGAGAACATATCAAGACGATCGAAGAAATAGTAGTGTGCAGAAAGGAGGTCAACGGAGTATGATGGGTGAGAAAGAATTTTGTACCCCACATCGTTTAACTTCTGCAGAATCGGTAATCCAAAAGGTGGCCGCAATTACGAAGAAGAAGTATTGGTGCCTATCTGTTAAACAATGGGCAGCCCAACCGTTGGATTTCCGGAGCATTTAGTCAATGTGATGGAGAAACTGCTCCGCCCAATCGTCTAACACGGAGTCGAGATACCGTCATGGAACAAATAAGCTGTAAGACACCAAGCGGCCGCCATCACCTTCTCTTCATGCAATTTCGAATATTGCGGAGTTTTGTCGCATTCTAACCACTGAGTCGATCGTTGCCGGTTGCCGTTAAGGATCCAATTCTCGTGCAGGTAACAATACGGTCAAGAAGCGCGTCCTTGTGGTTGCGCAAAACATTCGCCAATAATTCTTCAAAATGACGATTTCCACAACTGTCTTTCAGTCCATGAGGATCCATTATTTCTTCGACTTTTCAATTGTCCCTAGATATTCCGGAACAAACGAAATGCTTTCGATAAGTTTCTCTGTAAGTTATTGAACAGTTCTGCATGTATTTGCTTCCACCACCTTTCTGCATGTAATGCATCTTCGTCAGTAGCAGAACAATATTCACGATCTCCCTCATCGCTGAAATCAAATTCACCACGACAAACTTTTCAAACCGAGTTAGCACCGTGTGCTCGTTAACATTTCCTTGGTACCATACCTTTTATTAGCGTTTCAAACCTTTTGCATTGCGCACTTCCGAGTTTGCGTCCCCAGTGTATTCGTCAAAATTGCTTTGTTTTGACCTTTGTGATTCCAATCATTGAAATTTTACAGCAACACTATGCTACAGTGCAACGGCATGATGCACGATAGCATAGAATGGGTGTTTCGATGGTATATTATTGTGCAAAATTCGAGGAAAAACTGTTGCTAGAACATGTACAGAAATAAAACTGAAATTCTGACATTGGTTCGTGAGCAACACGATATCTCAGAGATGTTGCAGGTTCCGAAGATTCGAACTACATAACTCAGCTAATTGTTTTGCCTGTTTTTTCTTCATTTAATGGCATACTTGGATAATTGGATGGCCCGTCCTCACTGGCAACGCAGGCCCCAGCATAGTCTGTATTTTTCGGAACTTTGCTGCTTTAGCCACAGTGTTTCCCTGGAGTCCCGAGGTCGGCATGGCTAAAGTCTGCCCCAGCTTGTCACAACTACAGGCAGTCGGTGCCCCTTGTGGATTAAGGAGAGGTTTGCCACCATGGGACTAGTTTGATAACAGGAAGGTGGTCCATCCTGGTATTGGTTTATTCTTAGCTGAGCTTCCTGATGAAGACGCCGGACTCCTACCTGGCTTGAAAGGCCCTGCCGGGAGGATGAATCCTCGCACTGTACATCGCAGCCCGACACCCAGGAACACCTCACGGTCACTAGGCGACAAACCGTTGAAAGATGTTGTTTGTGTTTGTTTATTCATTTTATTCATTATTTATATTTCCCATTTTTACGTTTGTTATTTATATTTATACTTCAGAGTTCATTGTCCATTCATTATGAGGGTGGTGCGACAAATTTTCTTTGTGGTTGAGATATAAACGCACGTTTCAACTTTTTTGCTTAACTTCAGTGAAGGATTAATAAATCGGCTTTCATGATTCCTTTAGAGAGGCATGATGCATTCAACTCCATTCTCAGCATTGTCGGTCTGTCTGAACGACGATTTGGCCAACACAATAGCTTACCTGACCCTATCGGTGTATAAAGTCATTCTTTTTACCTTCCACAATCGACTCCGAAGGGATGGAGAGATGGTCTGCTGATGGCACGAGATTTAATCAACAGGCATGTGCATATTACAGTGCACCTCTAATCACTGAGCCACCTGAGCCTGCGCAACCCTGATCGAATAAATAAGGAAGGTGTTGGAATCCTTAACTCACCACACAGGCAAGCAAAAACACTGGAGCATATAGGATTAGGGCAAAAGCTCGTACGTCAATGACCAATCTTACCCAGAATAAACCACGCTCGACATCATCATATCCTACTCGACACTTCTCGCCTAAACACACTGGAGAAGTCCAAACACCACTTAGTCGTTTCGCTATTTTTTGTTTTATTGAAGTTTTATGAATAACGAAGGCACATATAAAAAACGGTTGTCGATTCTCCTACTGTCCGCATAAGGAACTCCTAGATTGAGGAAGAATTTGGCTTGGCAATCGAAAATGTTTGGCGCGATACGCCACATTCTGAACGACAACAAAATATCCGTGCTTTGAAGCTTGACCTCTGTTGAATTAGATCTGACTAGCACGTTTCAGTTGCGCAGTAGCATAACTGCTTGAGCAAGAAATCTATCCGTACCAGTGAAATGCATGATGCTCTCTATCGGATCACCGCATTGCCAGCAGAAACGTGTACGACAACGAAGATTTGCACACGTTACATAGCTGCAGCCTTCTTTTTCAACGTACATCGACTAAAATCTGATGAACTGAGTATCCTATCGAAAATTCACAGTCATTGTCAGTACAACCTTGCACAGTGGGCACTGCTTCACATACTTGTTCCCGCCTAGTGCATAGTAGATGACATCCTTGTTATGGTAGTATTGCAACCATTGACGATGATCCAGCGGCATGAAGAGGTTCAATCCATCCTGAAACGATACTAACATTTATGTCATTTATGCACGAAACGAACTCTTGAGGAATAATCCACTGACTTCCTCTTCGTCCAAGACAGCATTGATATCGTTTTCGTGGATACGTTGGGAACACGTCGGTTTAATGCATTTTATACGTGCTTTTGCTTTATCACGAATCCAAAACTGAAACTGACTCTTGTCGTCTTGGTATCTCACAAGATTTACTGAAAATACAAAACCTCTAGCGCTTTAAAAACGACTGTGCATGAACAAGTGATTTTTGCCAACTGTATTCGCATGCAGACTGTCAAACACGACTTTTCATGTCTACTAAAAACTAAATTTTGAGCATCTTGGACAAGTTTATACAGTTTGAATTTTAAGTTGCAGAAAAAGGACCATGAGGCAAGCGTGGTGATGAAGCAAAATGTAATATTCGAAGTGCCTAGGTAAGAGCCACACAGCGGCGAGAATATCTTGAGGCCCAACTGATTTCTGCGTGCTAATTTTCACTTGTACTCTACACCTAGAAAACGTTCTAACATATTCTCATAAGGAATTGAGGGAAAGGTACCAACATTGGTCAATCTCCTAGAGATGACCTATGCATTGCGCCCCATTTGTGGCACCGATGGGGTAACCGGGCGCATATTTGGCCTGGAGTTTCATCCTATGAGAAAAGTTTGCTATCAGTATATTGAATTCGAAAAGTGGAGCACTTCGTTTGCAACCCGTCATAAATGCTTCGAAGAGGATCAATTCAAATTTATGGTTTATGGAAAAAATAATATATGGAAGAAAAAGAAACAGTGAGCAGGTGACAGAGATCAGTAAGTGGATGACTTAATTATGGGCCAAGTGACTTTATCATCGAGACTTAATTCCCCGGTACTTTCTAAGCCATTCAATAAACTACGCTATCTAATGACAAACTTAAGCAAGAAAATCAGCAAGCACTCTTTTTTCACTATTCGAAGAACAAGGAGCATTGTTGGCAGGCATGTCGATGTCGATTACCGTCAGATGTTCCAGTAGACACGTGACACAACAAATGTGGTTACATTGTCGAAGACGAAGGCGAACGCAGTTCACCTGTAGGCACCGCACACACTGCAGATCCTGAAAATCGATTTGTTGATGTTATCGGCTGGCTAAGGACAGTACACGCAGAAGGAATGCTTCTGAGAAAAGCCAAAAGAGAATTTTACATCTGTCAAATTTTGAATATGATTGTCCGGATCTGCTCAACACAAAAGGACCATTGAGCATTCATGGCAAATAAAAATTCAACAATGACTTAAAGTTAACAAAAGAGTTTCGATAACAGGATTTGTTAGAAATCACTCCTGTGCACATGCCTGCGTCTGTGGAGCTGGAGCGACGTCGAGAGCTGAAGGTAATCTTGTTAACGATTTGAAAAGGAAACAACAAACAAGAACGGAGGATACGAAGGCAGCAGAAAAGTCTAAGGCTACTGCCTCATACGACGAAAACATACCATCTTTGCCTCCTAATGCCTTCACAGTCTGAAAAAAAACAGTCGTTCTTCCAGGACCAGTCATTTCAAGTACTGGCGAACAACCTTTTACCTGATTTAGCATAGTTCAACTGCTTACTTGCCGTTTGGCTATGAGAATAAAACCACACTTCCAGATAGTTTGGAGTGCTTATTGTTAAGACCATTGATGTTAATGGCGAGTATTATTGGTGATGGGTGTTGCCATCTCTCTCTTCCTTCCTCGATCTCTCTCTTGCAATGGTTAGTTCGACTTTTGTGACTGGCCGAATTCTATACAAGCGCTTGTTCTTTTGCTGAACCACTAATCACTACGTAATCGTAAACCGTTATTGAGTTTTGTAATTAGGTACAACACATGAACATGCAGTATTTATTTTTTACTTCGTATCAAAATGCTCGGAAAGGAAAATTTTACGCATTCACTTCTAAACAAAACTTTCCGAAGACTAATCACTGCGTATATAATGCTGAGATATTTGCAAAACTCCGGACCGCAGGTGTATGCGGTGGGGAACGAACGCGCGCTATTGCCCTTACCGGAGAGTAGCGCACTTCACCACCACACCATCCTAGTCCTTCGTTTTGCCTGTCTCTCAGCTAGTTCTATTGATCTTTTGCCATCAGCAATCACCCGTCAACGGCATTGATCTGGGGGGCCCAAATCGGCATTAAACCCAGTTAAGCTGAGGCTTAGTTATAGTCACAGTTACAATCACAGAGAGACAGGTAAAACGAAGGACCCGGATGGTGTGGTGGTGAAGTACGCTACTCCCCGGAAAGGACAATAGCGCGCGTTCGTTCCCCACTACATACACCTGCGGTCCGGAGTTTTGCAAATATCTCAGCATTATATACGAGTTATATTTCGCAACATACCCTGCCATTAAAAAGAAAAAGGCAGTAAATAAAACGGTTAAGAAAATGTCACTATTTCATAATGATATCAACGTCGATGTCAAAAGAGGGGTGTTACGAAAGGCGATACCATCTCGCCAAAATTATTCAACCCTTGGGGCCGTCATTAGAACATTACAATGGCACAACATGGAAGTGAAAATCAGTGGTCGGAAATCACACCATCTTCGCTTTGCTGAGGATATCGTCGTCTGACTAAATCTCACAAAAACACAAAAATCCGTGCTCACTTTTCTGATTCGGCTTTCCACCCAGCCTTCTTTCATTAAACAGCAGAGACATGAGCCAATACTTCAACAACGTTAAGGATGCTGCACACTACTCAAGAGCGCTTAAACGGTGTCTTCTGGAATACAACCGGCACGCACAACATCTAGCTGGAATAGGAAGCTCTGATCTTTGGAATCTATCTCATCTTCGAGACCCAGGCGAACATACATCAATAGCGAAACATAAATGGAGCAGTCACATAATGACAAAAACAATCAACAGATGGACGTAAAGGACTGAGGAGTGGACTCTCCGGTGAAAGCGGGCGTCCTCTTGGACGGCCACCTTCGCGTTAGGCGGACGTGTTCGTAACCAAAGTATAAATAGCTGTACTCACAGCTGCAGTTGGTTTACAGACCGCGGTATGAGACTCTCACCCGCCACGAAGCCCAATCAAACCACTACCATGATGACGATTACGAGGCGAAGAAACGGATGGAAAATGTCCTGGAATCCGCGCAACGTGTAAGGACAGATTGTCGAAATATCCAAGTAACCATTCGGTTTCCTCGAATATTTGCCATATCCAACTTTTTCGTATCCGCCATATCCTTTTGTTTATGAAAGAAGGCACCGGATTTTGCTCATATGTCAGCACCCTTGTGGTTTTATCACCTGTGTCACCTGTTGTCTCGTTTATCGTCGAGTGACTCTAGTGGGCGCTCGGTAGTTTATTTCAGTGCACGGTTTTTTCCTAGGTTTCTTGCGATCATTTGGTAGTTTATACAACACAGACGCTATGGGTTGCCTTGTCTATAGGAGGACACCTCCTTAAAAGTTTCTTACTAATTTCACACTCTATAAAGAAGAGACTATAACTTTTGAAGAGAGTGTGCGACTAGGGTTATACCTCTATCTGAAAGAACAGGAGCCGCATGCAGAACGTGGCATCGTTTTTGAGAAGCAATTCGATGTTTTCCAAGTTTCAATCGCTATGGTGACTTTTCGGTATTGTTTGGAATGAGAGAACATCAAAACCAATAGGAAAACATTGTAATATTCCTTCAAGAACTTGTACACATTCATTAAATGCTGACAGTAGTGTGATTGCGTTGGGGACGAGCGCTTTTTCCTTATATAAAAAAGGTGTATAGCCACTAAAATTATGGGAGTGTGTAGAAGAACATGGAGCATATGTAGGATTAAGATGCGCAGCATCTTCTGAAAACGCGGACAACACCGATTTATTGAACGGAAACCACAACAGAAGATGACGAGGCTGGGTAAAAACCTCCGCGGTGGAGGTGTGACCTCTATAGGTATGACAAGTGACCGTACGAAGAAATTAACCGCTGTCCACTCCGCATAAGTGCGAAATAAGGCGTTGTCTAGAAAGTGTTAGCGCGTAAAATATATCCTTGGAAAATGAATACATTTCCAACTTTTAGTACAGACTTTTGTCGTCGATGTTGTAGACGTCTAACTGATAAACATTTATCTCACAGCACACGACTTTTACAGGATATTCATTAGGAGGTATTTTTGGTATGCAGCGGGAAGAAGCGTAGGAAGAGTGCGCATTCATCAATGTGTGGAGCACCTGCTTAGTAAGAAACCATGTTCTTAACCGAAATCTTCAAAACATCTAGGTGATGTTATAAGCGTACTTGAAAGATTTATTGAACTATAATTCTTCTTACGAACTTTCCAGTTAGCGGGTTTGCAGTAGTCCGCAAAGAATAGGCCGTTCTTGTATAAACTCCCAACGTTTACATACAATAAACACTTGTTGTATGCAATTTGTAACACTAACATTGACAAAATCAACTTTCAGAACTGGAATCTATAGCCCTTATAATTCGTTCTTATCTAAAATCCTACACAATACAAAATCTCAACATAGGGTTTACATTTCGTCTATAAAAACTCTAACTCTTGCATATAAACTACATCCACATTATTTTACACTGGCTAACAGGAGCGCGTGTGGTGCGAGCGTTTGAAGGTGCCCTGCACTACACGTGGGTTCGATTCCACACCCCAAGATCACAAAGCCTTTCATCTCCCTGGGATGGGCAAATTGGTACCAAACCTGTATGGGAGAGTAGCAGCATAGACCCGATGCATCGGTATGCCATCGCGAGTTGTTGTATAGGCTAGAAATGCATTCAATCACCTCTAACAGTGAGCAACCTTAATGAAGTGGAAGGCATGGCGTATCCCTCAGGGATTAATCAACGTCGAGAGCTTTACTTTTTATCCTTTTACATTTACTAGCATCAAAACAGTCTAAAAATGCGCCTTACACTACTACGCTTACTGAGAACTTGTCTAACAGAACTTGTAGCAAATATTAAATGACTATGTTTCGCTAACTTCATATAACAACCAAACCAGAACACTTTCCTGGTGTGTAGCCTTTGGCTGTCGTGCAAGAACAGATCTGTGCACCTAAACTGTGGATGAAAATGGATATGGCAAGACAATGAAGAAACGAAACAACTACGCCACATACCCAAGATACAATTGTTGATAACTGTTCCGTTGCGTACAACTACGTACAATAATTAGTAGAAATCACCAGGGTCCGTACTTTCATCAAAACCTGATTGCTTCTTGTGAAAGAGTAAAGTTCAAGATCCTAAATTCCTGTCAGGAAGGGCTGTAAAGAAAAAGTAGAATAAACGATGCGGAAGAGAAACATTTGGAATAAGGTGAGGAGGATATCCACCGGAAGCAGGTGACGGAAAGAAAGTTCCCTGATAAACTGGTGGGCCATTAGAGCCAGCTGGGCGCGGTGGCAACGGAGTTTTTAACCATTTGGAAAAGTGAGGAAAGGGAGGTGTATGGGAAATGGCTCTGAGAAGATCCATCTAGGAGAAAAATGCATGGCACTCCTAAATTGGTGCTCACGTACAGTTGGAAAGCTTACAAAGTTATCTGTAGGGTCGAAGAACGCCTGCCTATAAATCGCTTGGTGGAAGCGCAGAAAAGGTGTCTCCAAGTGATCATATGACCTCAGAAGCAAAACAAAGTGCCTCCTTGCAATGATGATACTTTATGACATTACCTCTCTCCTTTGCGCTTCCAACGAAAATTATTCCATCGGCGATTCTTAAATAATACTTAGAAGAAATTTACAACAGGGTCACGAAATAATTGAAATGCATACGTCGTAGAAAATAATGTAGTCCTTCAAATTTAAACCATCATAAAGTGGAAGGAATATCGTCCTTAGCGACACATGAGAAAATTTGAGCCCCGGGCATTGTAATTTTGAATGGGTTAGTTAGATTAGTCTTAGAAGAAAGTCAAGTTTAATAAAGGTGATTTCAATAACAAATCTGCCTTTATAGTCGATGCTTAAGCTTCTGACCGAAGTTGTCAAAGGTGTACAACTCTCTATGAGTGATTAGTCCATATCTTTTTCTGATAAAATCTCGTTGATAATGAGACTTAAGGAAAAAGTTACATTGCGTTACATAAACAATTATTACAATCAAGGTTGCTTGTGGTGATAACGTAGAGCTTATATAATATCATTTGCCACGGTATAAGTTTTGATATAACAATATTTGTTTCCAGTTTTCACGACGAAGGACAGTATTGGGATGTTCATTAAATTAGCACCGAGTGATTCAGTTATAACGGTGATGAAATGACGGCTGTACGGTACTACGGTAGATTAATTCTGTAGATTTGAAAAATTCTTGCAGCACGAAGCGCTTGGGCTAGTTTCTTCCTACACGGAAGAAAAGAACACTGATAGATTTTGGAACCTCGACGATATTTTCAGTACCAACTTTCTGCTGAACTCGGCTCAAAGTGAATATACAGAATTGTTTCCTCGGTGATACATCCATAAAAAGTCAAACTGCAGATGCAAAGAGAAGGATATCTTGTTAAGACGCTAAGGTTCGTAAAACTTCCAATCTCTTCCGGAAAAATTTAGCTGAT